CAGTGGCTGGCACAGCTCTTCTCACCAGCTGGGAAGGCACAAGAACAACTGTGGGCCTTTCACTGCTGTTTTTAGCATGTGTGAAGACCTTGCAGTGGGACATTTCAGGAAATAGCCTTTGATCAAGTGCCTTCATGGTTAAATTAAATGGAAAGTCAACAGAAGGGATGATATAACTCAGATTTTGCTCCCAAAAGGAGGGAGCTTGATAAGCAGGGCTGTATACAGACTCAGCAGTAGTGGCAGGGTGCTCAGTGGAATTGGGACATGCATGCAGACTCTGACCTCTCTGGATTTAGGTCCAGCCTTGGAGAATGGGCTACTAAAAGCACATTCACTGAAGAGTTCATGGACTCATTGTAGACTTGAAGTCTTGTTTGTGACAGTACAATAATTATCTGTGATTCATATTTGCAGCAAGGGGAAAACTGGCAGAAAAAGGCTGTAAATATAACTTCATAAAGAACTGCTTCACAGTGGTGTTAGAGGTAATAGAGGAGTGAGGAAGAGCATCAGAAGACTTCACTCCTGATGGCTGAAAGGGACAGAGATAAAGTAGAAACTGGCAAAAGTCAAGTTCAATTAGATGTTGCAAAGGAAATTAGCAAATACTGAACAGTGTCGCTGACAAACAATTAATAAGGAAGCAAGGAAAGAATTATCAAGGCTGACATCCTGGGAGGTGAAGAAAGTGGAAAGATTAATGTAGGAATCACATGAATATATATATTGCCTATATCAGGATGATGTGATGAATGTGAGGGAAAGGGTCGCTTATGGTGAGAAGTTCACAGAAAACAAAAATTACTGGGTCAGCACTGAAAGGCAAAAGCTGTTGAAGCTAATGCAGTAGGTGTGAGAGCCCAAGAGATCTCTGTTCTACTTTGAGCCAATTAAGCTGCAAGTCCAGAGGAAAAGGTCCACAATAAATCTATCAAGTTCCACAGGATTAGCTTGCAGTGGATATAATACCTCTTTTTTTTTTTTTTTTTTTTTTGGTGTCGGGGCAGGACAGAGCCAGGTATGGGAGCAAGTGAAGGAAAATAATCCTGTCAAATTCAGAACTCTGAAACCAACCTCAGAGGTACTATTCAGAACTTCAGAGCAGAGTTTAAATGAAAGAATATTTAAATCCTGAAAGCAAACACAGCATGGATTTACCAAAGGCAGGTAACAAAAACTAATTTAATATCTTTATTTGGTTAAAAAGAAAATCTTTCTTGGGACAGAGGAAGTGTAGCGGTCCCGCCTGTCAGAAGTTCAGGTAAGCGTGCAATCCTGTGCCTTGTGAAATATTATTGTTAGTTAAGCTTCAGAAGCCAGGCTTTGGTGCAACACCTGTACATGAATAGTCTCTCTAAGAGAGAGCACAAAAAGCAGCCCTGAATGGACAGCTGGGAGTTCCTCTGCAGGAGGTCATGTTTAGTGTTTGCTTTAATGATTTTTGGCACAGAAGGCAATGGTGTGCAAGTGGAATTTGTGATGAGACAAAACCAGGTGTGGTCAATACAAGGGAGGATCAAAATACCATCCAGGAAGGCCATGAGCACCTTGAGAACAGGAGTGAATTGGGTGGCATGAAACCTAAGATTATGAATGGAAGGTCATGCTATTTGGAGCAATAACAGACATTTTGACTCTAATCTGGGATAGCATTATTTGGCAATGGCAGAGGAGGAAAGTGTTTAGATAGGTACAAATAAATCACAGAATAATTCAGGCTGACTGTTACTGTGGGGAAAAAAAGACAAATACAGCTCTGGAAAAACTAGAGGAAAAGACTTCTTGTTAAGTGAGGGAATTGCCTCTGCATGAGGCACTGGTGAGCCTTTTTTCCTAGCTCATGAGAAGTAAATCTGGAATAAATAGGGGCAGAGGGAGCTGCTATAATTCAGTGAGATTTCCCAGTTTTCATGGTGTAAATGAACAGCTTGTTTTGGTAGAAGAAAGGTGTTGCTTGTTTAACTTGGTAAAGTGAAGACTGAAAAGGGATACACTTTCCTCTCTGTGAGTGTATTAAAAGTTATCAGGAACAAAAGCAGTTGTTTGAAATTTAAAGTTGATGTAAAAATGGCCATAAAGGGGCTGTGAGTAAATCCCCTGAAGACAAGAAGACGAGGGTGCCCAGCCATCCCTTTTGTTTCAGTACATGTGAATCCCAAGTGGTTTCAAGCAGAGTGGGGCGGTCTGATGATGAAAATTAAGCAGTTCTAGAGACAAGGCAGTGAAGGTTAAAGACAAAGATAAATTAGCACTGGTGGAGACTGGAAACTGACTGTTGCCAGTGAAGTAGTACTTCTTGCTCTGCTCTGGTTTCTGTGCAGGTTTTTGGGGAGAAGTGCTGCTGATGTGCAGAAATACAGAGGATGTAACAGAACTGAGAAAACTCCTTCTCTACGACTTGCTCTTTTTCTTGAATGCATTCCTCATTGACTCACTCTCTCTAATTTACTGTTCCTGTATTTAAATTGCAGCATGCTTGATAAGACTAATGTGGTCTGAAGCTGAGGCATTCCCCAGTTGTAATTGATTACAGACGGGGAGCTTACCTTCCTCCTGGGTTTGTCTCTGAAACATTTGCTTAGGCTTGAAATATTCTACTTGGCTTTCCTTGAAGTGACAGATGATGTTTTGTGCTTCTTTGTGGAATTGTCAAGATAAAAAGGATAGGTGGTTTGGGGCTGCTGCATTTGCATAACCCTGAAAGGTGGCTTAACTGATGATAAATTTTCATCTAATAACTGTGACCAAGCACTCGGAGCCACTGCCACCTCCCTGGGATAAACAGTTGTAACAGTACTGGCAGAGTAACTCTGCTCCCTCTGCATAGCTCTCCACTGGAAAAAGCAAACGTCCTCTACTCAGAGACAGACCCAAAGCACAGGAAATCCTAGCCTGGTCCCTGGAGAACAAGAAGGGGTCTGGAGCCTCCTGGGATGTTCCTGTTGTAACTCTCAAAGTTCATTGCTCCAACCATGGGCTCAGGCAAGCAGCCTGCTTGATTCCACAAGTGGAAGCTGCATTGGATGCGAGCAGCAGAGGAGAGAGAGGGCAGAGCCAGTCTGCCAGGTTGCAGCCGTGGTGGTGATGTGCAGGGACAGGAAGGTGGAGGTGACAGTGAATGTTCCAAACTGCTCCATCACTGTCTTTGAGGTGCAGATTGACACGAAAAGAGCTGGAGTTTTCTGCTGGCATTGTGTGCTATTTAAGGTGCATACCCGTGGTGCTATTTGAGGTGTACACACCCTGAAACCTTCTGGGGTTTAGGGTGTATTTTGTTGCCTTTTCCTGTCAGAGCAGTGGGACTGAGGTGCCTGCTTTCCTGTCAGTTTTGAGAAAAGTGCTCTGGCTCTTGTCCCAACTGCCGCTGCTAGTGCTGGAATGCAGTTTCCTTCATCTGATCAGCTTGGTCTGTCAGTGGGATGAGTGAGTCCCTCTCCTGTAATCAGTAACTGGAGCTGGTGTTGAAGACATGCCTCATCCCTCCTGCCCGTGCTGCTGTCGGGCGATGGGGGAGCAGCACTGCACTGAGTGCCCTGGTAGTGCTCTTTGGGAGGGATGAAAGCATGTTCTCACGAGGGAACCTCTTTGTCTGTGGGCTTACATTAGCCACAAAACATCAGAGAGTATTGATGTGGACATCACTAAGATCCATGGATCAGGTGGGAGGCTGAATGGCCTTTCATGTGACTGCCTGCTTTTAAAAAGGAGTTAGTGGGAGTGTCTGGGGTATAGATCAGCCTGGGTGCTGAACAACCACAGGTTGGTAGATCTTGCCAGCAGCTTTGCAGTGAGTGCTGGAGCCAGACCTAGCAGTAATCTGAGAGACTGCAATTGTATCACCCAAAATTTTGTTATCTACCTCCTCAACTTAAATTCCTGCTCTGCTTGTACTTTTCACAAAGCAGATTCCTCCTGCCATGAGATAAGGCACTTGCACATGGCCTGAGGTGGCATTTTAGGTGGTTTGAGTTTGCCTACAAGTGGCTGCCTCCCCAGTTCATCTGTACAAAAAACACAAACACAAACGGTTGTCCTGGCTGAAACCAGTTGGCTTTTCAGACTGTGTGGTGAGGCTGGAAGGCGTGGAGGAGGGCTCAGATTGTGCTGTGAGTTCTCAGGCTCCTGGTGCTCCAGGCAGGTTTCAACAACAAGCCCAGCCAGATGCAAGTGAATGCACTGAGCCTTGGTGTCCCAGCGTGGCCTCTGTGCCTGTGGGCCGAGCTCACCCACACACTGGGCTGCCTCTGCCGGGGCTGAGCCTTCCTAGCAAGGGGCTGTGCTGGCAGAAGTGACACTGCTGCATGGCAGGGGCCAAGCCCAGGGACCCCAGCTGACATGTCACATGTGGAACTGTTTCCAGCACATTGGGGGATCCTGACTCTGGCTCCAATGCTCAGCCCTGCTCTCCCAGCTCTCTCTGTGCCACCATCATTCCCACTGCTGCTTTCTGGAACTGATGTTTTTTTCCTTTTACAAGCCTTTGTAACCCTTATTCCTTGTTGTAACCCAGTGGCACTTGTCAGTTTCTGCTTTTACATTAGCTGAAGCCAAGCACTGTTTCAGGGCAGCATTGTTTCAGTTTAGAGATAGGGCCTTATGCATTTCCAGAGTCCCAAAGAGCACTAACACAGGACCATGTATGGTCCTGTTCCCAGTAGTGGTGTAGCCTTTCCAGCATTCAGGTAACAGTGTCACTGTGCTGTTGGACTCCTGTATACAGTAGTTTGGGCAGGCATGTCTGTCCAAGGGACCTGGACTGCCCAGATCTCACCATGCAAAAAACTTTCCCCAGCCCACAGGGAAACTTTCTACCTTAGGTACACAGGTCTGACCCTGCTGACTGTGTCAGCTTTACACAGAAGGAGGTCCTTGGCGTGCAAGGGCTCTTCTGATCTACAGCAGGATCTGTGTCCTTGACAGTCTCCCCAAGCATGAGGGACAGGAGCATGCTTGGCCAGGGTAGTTGCTGACCTCCTGTCTCTCTCATTTTCTTCCAGTCCTGGACGCACAACATCCAGCGGGAGAAGGAATTTCTGAGAAAGCTGGTGAAAGCCCGAGTCATCACTGACCTGACCAGTGGGATTTGAGTGGCTGCAGCCACTGCATCCAAGGGAGGAGATGAAGACACGCTGCAGCTCTGGGAGCAGGCCCTGGCAGCCCCTGCAAGAATCCCACCTCACTGAAGACACACAGAGATGCCCAGGTGCTCTAGGAAGACCCTCTTGCATTGCCAGTCTGCACGAGGGTTACATCTCCCACCTCCAGGCCTAGAGCTGGCAGGAGGTGGGCAAGGGGCTCAGTGGACAGTTCTTGAACTCTGCATCGCAGACAGATCTTCTGCATCCTGAATTAGACAGGAAAGACTCAGGAGAGAGAAGAAAGGTTTGTGAATAAAATGATTAGTGCCAAATGGGAGGTGATGCTGCCCCAAGGCAGCAAAGCCTGAATGTACAAAGTATTATTTTTTAAAAGACTGCTGGAACCATACTAGAAATACCAAGGTACAAGGCAAAGTCTGCTTGCGCACAGCCCTGCGAAAAACCTGGCCTCTTCATGCTCCATCTGCATTGTCACCAGCCTCTGACCTTTCCCCGGGAAAACAAATCCATCCAAAACTTCGGTGTCATTGGTGCTGCTACGATTTGAAGGGAGAATAATGGCTTCCTCTCATTCTCCACTTGGAGCTTCTGGATGGAGATGAGCATGGGTTTGTTTTTCTGCATTTTTCCTCACATCCTCCACACAGGCAGCAACAGCAGCCAGTGACTTGGCTGTGTTTTCCATAGCCATTTGCTCTGCCTCTGCCCTGACCCCGAGGTGGAGCAGGGAGCTGGTGGCTTTCCCCGCCTACAGCAGACCCTCCCCACCTTCCTGCCTGTCATGATGCAGAGGAGCCTCTGCCCCGTTGTGCTCAAGGCTTTCAGGCCTCTTGGTTTGTGCCTGCTGTGCAGGGCCCCTGAAGAGTCCGTGCAGACTTGTGTCACTGTTTCTGGACAGCATCTCGCTTTGGTTTTGTGTGGGAGGGGAGTAACTTATTCTTTGGAAGGAGGTCAGATCTTGAGCAGAGATCTCAAGCTTTACAGTTTGAGAGAAGACTGCTGAAGATGTTTGTTTTACGTTCCAGACTCAATCATGTTCCCTATTTAAGCGACGTGTGACCTCAATGATGATGGAACCTGATGGGAACTCTCACCCTCTGCTTGGCCCCTGCTCACTCCATTTCCAAGCTCCTCCTGTGCTGCTCTAGCACTGCTGCTCCTCCTGCTCTCAGGAGCACGTCCTTCCTTTGCCCTGTTGGTCCCAAGATGCACTATTTGCACATTTGATTTGTATACGTATTTCAGAGGAGCTGGAATAAACTGATCAACGTGGCCAAGTGCGAGGGCAGCAGGGTGGTCTCATCCACCTGAAGAGCGTGGGCAGAAGGGAGGTTGCCAAGGGAATGAGCAGTTACATGTGGAAAGTGGCTCCTGTGCTCTCCTAGCCTGGGGCAGGCTGGAGTGCACCCACAGGCACTGTCCCAGTACCTGGGTGTCAAGGTACTGGCACACAGCCAGCCGGTGCTGGGGTCTGTGGAGGGGGATCCCAGAGGGGTGTGGGTTGGGCTCATGGTCCTGACACTGTGTCTGACATAGCCCAAGGATTGCAGTCTGCCTTGCTCTGGACTGAAGGGAGCATGACCCTGGCATGGGCAAGGACTGCTCGGAGCAGGGTGAGCAGGGCTCCCCTAGACCAGCTCTGCAACTGCTGACTTGCAGGGACTGTGGCTTTGGACCTGAGACCCTCAAGGGGGTGTGCAGGAGGGGCAGGCAGTGACCCAGGCGTGGGGCAGACCAGCAAACTGTACAGAGTGGTTTGAGGCCAGGCTGCAGGCAGAGGCAGCTCCCAGGACACGGCCCTGAGTGCTGCTTACAGAGCTGTATGGGATGCCTTCCCCAGGAGCCTCTCCTGCCTGCTGTGCCTGTAGCCAAGGAGCTTGCTCAGGGTCAAGTCCTGCCCACCTTCTTGTTGTGGCTGCTGTTTCCCTTGTCATCTGGGAGCAGCTCAAAGTTCCTGCTGCTTCTGGGCTGCAGAAGGCATGCTGGGAGGCTCTCCATCCCTTTACCCTTCCCATGTCCCATCCCCTCTGCTCTGGCCTCCCAGCCAGACAGTCCCCATTCACCCAGGGACATGCCTCCTTTCAGGATGCTCTGTCAGGTTTACAGCAGGTTTTTGAGCGTGTGCTATGGCAGATACTCCTTTTAAGTATCTCCCATTTTGTTTTTCCTTCTTGAGGACTCCATGGGACTGAATTTCCATGGCTCTCACCAGGCAGCCCTCCCTTTGCAGCTCCTGGGTGTCAGCCTGGACTTGGGACCATCTTCTGTTGAGTCCCAGCCATGCTGGCAGGGGGAATGCTTGGTCTGGGTCTGGCTGAGGTTGTGGCTGGGGAAGGGTTGACACTCACTCTCTGTCTTGGTGCTTTAACCAGCTGCCGCAAGAGCCTAGGGCTGTATCCATGGGCTGCAGTGAGCTGAAATGGCAGAGTGGGCAGCTGCATCTGGAAGGAGGAGGGAACAGCCTTTGGTGTCTCTGCTGGGGCCCCCACAGAGGATTGTTCAATTGCATTACTGAACACTCAAAGCTCTAGGTCACTTTTATCCTCCAACTCACTAGCTCCAGGTCCAAGGACACAGCATGGCCACTGCTCAGCCTTCCCTGTTATCCCTGCTCTCCACCACAGCCATGAACAGGTCCTGATGGGAAGTTGACCCTACAGACCAGGGACATGACTCCTAGTCCTTCCCTTCACCTTGACAGGAGTTTCCAGGCAGAAGAGCCCAAGTTGAATAGATGAGTGCATGGCCTAGAGTGACTGCGGTGGGTCAGCACCACCTGCATGTAGAAGGAAAGAGCATTTTGGGGACCAAGACTCTCCTCTGGCTCACTGACACCACAGAGCAGCCCATGGCCAGGTGATGGGGCTCCAGCTGCAGGAGCAGTGCACAGCACTGGGTTTTGCTCCTGGCTGCTGTTGTTTTGGCTGCCTCCCCAGGTGCACCTGCAGCCACCTCCCGCCCTTGAGAGGCTGCAGTCCTGGCAGCTCGGCGTGGTGCACCGGGTCAGAGCAGGGTCAGTGGGACGGATGTGAGTCTTGGCCTCTCCCTCGCAGTGACTCACCTTGTCAGATCGGAAGGGAGAGCCCAGGGGAATTCTCCACAGCCTAAATATAGAGCGGGGTTGCCTGGTGCCTCTGATGTGCTGTGGTGCAGAAAGGCCACTCGGGTGGCAGGAAACCTACCTAGAGACAGCCCAGGGAAGCACAGGGAGATCAGGGGCCAGTGACCACAGTGGGTTTTGCTCCAACTAGTGCACAGAGCAGATCTGGGAGCTGCCGGGCAGCCTGCATGTGCTGCTCTGGAGGGCAGGAGGTGCTGAAGAGCTGCTGCTGCTGTGCTGACCACACCACGAGCTGCTTGTGCATGTGTGTCAGTGCCCACCACACTGGCACTGGGATCCCACCACCAGCTCACCCTGTTAGGCCTGGCCATGCTGTGGCCTTGAGCTCACACATGCCAAAGGTAAGCACCATGGCCAGGTAGCATGAGGCAGCAGTGGGATCCAGCCCAGCATTCCTCATCCCAGCATCTCTGGGCTTCCAGTGTCTCCTTCCTTGGAGGGAGAAGTGGAGAGGCCCTGCCTGGCCATGCTGTGCTACCCCTCAGTGTGAGCACTGCTGGGAGCAGGGGAAGGTGTCAGGACAGGGCTGTGTCAAATGGGCGCAGCTGGGTTTGGTACAGGCAGAACTGGACATGGACAAGGGCTTCCAGAGTGTTTGGCAGGGAGCAGCCACCACGCCGAGCTCCACAGGCACCAGCACAGCGTGTACTCTCGGTCCGAGCGTGTGTCACTCGCAGTATTAGAGACGTGTCCTTCAGTGCAGGAGCCCCTTTGGGGCCACAGCCCAGCCCCTCTGGGCCCTGGCTCCTTGCACAGCCTGCACAGGGTCTCAAAAAGGCCAGTGCATTCGCCGGTACTGTACCAAGCCAAGATGCAAGAACTCAATGAGTTTTTAAATTAGTTTTAGTTTCTGCATTTTTTTTTTAATTTTCCCTCTAGGCAGGGAGGGTAAGAGTCTTGCGGGCTCCTCCAAGCCGGCTTATGTCACATCAATTCAGTCATATCACAGAAGCAATAAAGCTATCAAACAAGCTTGGCTGGTCTCTTTCTTCTGCTGCCTTGGGCCTTTTTTATGTGAGGCAGAGGGATTTCCCTGCTAGGGCTGTCCCCTGCCTGGTTTCACTGCTGACTCCTCTGGAACAGTAATCCGGCTGCCAGGAGTTGCAGCTGGCCAACACCACTGGCCTGGTGCTGGGGACAAGAGAGGGCTGTGCTCCTCCTTGCAGGTGACTTTGAGGGGTGGGAGAGGGGATTGTGGGTTGGGTTCATTTAATGTTGGAAGGCACAGGCATCAGAGCTTGTCCTGCCTGTGACAAGCTGCCTGTGACAATGCTCTCCTGGGGACTCCCTGCCAGCAGGATGTCTTCCTGCCAAGGGTCACAGCAGCGATCGCGCTGGGTGCGGCCCTGACAAAGGCAGGTGTCCAGCCAAGTGACCTTCTCACCACAGTGTCCTGGAAAAGGAAACGGTTTAGGAAGCCAGGGACCGAGGCTGTGTCCAGCTTTCACACCTGCCAAGTCCCAGCTGGAAGAGTGTAACCCCTTAGGCAAGCCCTGGTGATGCCACCAGGCTCCCAGAGCCACAGGATGTGTTGGAGACAGTTCCATCGCTTGGAGGCACAGGAAGGCTACTGCCCGGTGAGTGACTGCCCTGCCAGACCTCCCGGCTTCTCAGCACGGGGTGGGTTGTTGCTACACCAATGGGACACCAGAGAAGCAACTGCCCAGCCCTCCCTGATGCGTGGTTGCAGGTTTCAAGGAGATGCTGGAGCAGCTCAAATCCTCCTTCCATCCCTCCTCTTTTCCTAGCATTTAGAGAGCAGGGCCACCACTGCCATCTGGCTGAGCCAGCCCCAGGGATGGCCCGTGCCCTGTCCTGGCCGTGAGAGGGCAGAAGAAGAAAAGAACACAGCCTGGGACCAGGGCACACAAGGACATTCAGGTCAGCTGAGACAAGGAGACTTGTTCAGAGATATCCCTGACAGAACCACGTCACTGCAGAGATGGGACACAGCCTGCGTCACAGCTCTCTCCCACGTATGTTTTGTCACACCCAGCCATGGCCTCGGACAGCAGTCACGATGTGCTCAGTCCTGCCATCTGGCTGGTCTGCATCACCCTCGTCCTGCCACATGCAGGGGTGGCACCTTTAGGGACAGATGTCACAGCAGGTCCTGGCTTGGCTCAGCAGGGCTTATTCCAGACCAGACAAGGCACCTGGGGGCACTCCAGCCCCAGGGGTGCAGGAGCACAGGCAGTGCCCTGGGAGGTACCAAGCCAGGCAGTGCCAGCAGCAGCCAGGGAGCAGGTCACCCCTCTGTCTGGAGACCTGTGGGGCTGGAACCTTGCCCTGCACCCCAGTACCTGTGCAGCCTGAGCCATGCCCAGCACGCGCCAGGGCAGAGCCAGGGAGCCCAAGAGGGGAGGGCAGTGCTAGGATTGAAGCACAGGGACATCCCCTGCCACCATGGTTGTGGGAGGACAGGGAGGAGGTGCTAGGACATTAGTGGGGCTGACAGCAGCTGCAGGCTTATGTCTCCCAGGATGACAAGAAAGGGCAGAGGAGGGAGCCAGTGCCTCCAGTGTCTGGGATAGCAGCCTTGAAGGGGGCACACCTGGAAGAGGACAGAGGCCAGGCTTTGCACAGCCACCCCTTCCACGTGACTGGGGACACTGTGGGCTCACCTGTATGGGTGCCCTGGATACCCTGTGCCATGCCCCACATAGCCCCTTGCATACAACCAGCATCACATCCTCTGAACTTCCTGGCTGTGTCCTGGAGACATGAAGACCTTTTCCAAGCAGGCAGCTGCACTGCTCTGTAGCCCTGCAAAGCAGAGGATGCTGTTCCCTGTCACTTGCTCCCAGATGTTTCTCTACCACAGGGATGCACCAGGGCCTCCAAAACTCTTCTGGGCCAAGGCACCCACGGGCACTGCCTCAGGTGCCCATGAGGACACCTCAGACGGGAGCAGCCCCAGGCCGTGCCCGTGGAGCACCAGTCCCACGGCAGAGCCCGTGCTCCCACGCGGTGCCACCAGCAGTCAGGGAGCCACCCATAGCCACAGACTAGGTCACGGTGCTTGTGCCAGGACAGGAGTGGGGGTGAAAGGGGGGAGCCGGGGCCACACGGTGCCACTTCAGGGCAGGTGAAGCAGCAGCTCCGGGCCGCGTGCCACCTCCGCTGTCCCTGCTCGCGGTGGCAGGGACGGCTTAGCGGGCGCCGCCTGTGCCCGCACACTCCCTGGCAGGTGATGTCTCAGGAGGACGCGGGAGTTGTCACCCCCGCGCCGGATAATCCGAGGAGATGAGAGCAGGCGAGGCGGCGGCTCCGCAGGTGGCTGCAGGAGCGGCCGCCCGACCCCGCCGCGGGCCCGCGGGGCTGCCGGGCGGCGGGAAGAAGGTGAAAGCCACGCGGGTGGCCCGGGGTCGGGGCGACCTGGGCGTGCAGCCGTGGCACAGCCGGCGACCGAGCCGCTGGCCCCGCTCCAGCCGGGGAGTTGCATAAGCCCGGGGAGCAGCGCCGAGGCGGCGGAGCGCCGCCGGGGCAGGTGACACGGCCGGCGGCACAGCGGGGCGCGCAGCCCGCCCGGGCGCCCTCGGACCCCGCGGCCATGAGGGCCGGACCCGGGCGGCTCGCCTGGCCCGGGGCGCGTCCCGGCGATCGGCTCCGGCCGGGGGAGCACGTGTGAAGCGGGGCCGAGCGGAGGCGGCCCCGGGATTTGGCACGTTCGCAAGGAGCACTCGAGAGCCCCGGGATGGACGCGGAGGGCCCCGGGCGGTGACGTAAGGACTCGCACGGGCTCGGCTCGACTCGCCAGCCGGCCCCCATGTCCCCGGGGCCAGCGGCGGCCCCGGCGGAGGGAGGCAGGGCGGCGGCAGAGGTAAGGAGCCCGGTGGCGGGCGGCCCAGCCGAGGAGGAGCGGGGCGCGGGCGGGCGGCAGGCCGGACTCCTCCTCCGGACACGAGCGAGGCACACCGGTGACCCGAGTCAGCTCGGGATGCCTGGGACGGCTGCCGGGAGCTGCCGGGACAGCCCCGACCCTGCCCGACAACCCATCCCCGCCGGATCCCCACGTGTGCAAGGGGTCCCCCGCGGGGCTCCGCTCCCGGAGCGCTCCGGGAAGGGCTGAACCCTTTCCCGAGGGTGTCCGTGTGTCCGTCCTGGTAGCTAGCGCTGTGATCGGGCTGTCGGGGCAGGAAGCACCGATCACGACGCGTCCGTCCGTCCGGGCAGCGGGTCCGCCCGCCCGGGGGTCGGCCTGCGGGCAGGTGGCGGTAGCGGGGGTCGGGTGCCTCGGGGGTCCCGGTGCTGTTCCCGGCGGGGTGCGAGTTTCCGCGGGAGCTCGGAGGCGGTGCGGATCGCGGCGAGAGCCGGTGCTGAAGCGGGCTGGGCTGCGGCTCCTGCTGCTGGCGGGATTCCGGTGCCCTCCTGATCCGGTGCGGTCCAGGCGCCCGTGCGGGTCGGAGTCTCGGTGCCACTACGTGCGGATCGGGGCGCCGGTTGGTATCCTGGTGCCAGTGTGAGTCGGGGTCCCGGTGCCGGTGCCCGCCCCGCCTGTCAGGTGACGGTGGCTGGAATTTGACACCGGCAGCGACGACGGGAGCGGGATGGAGCCGCCGGTGCCCCGCACTGCGCGTCCGCCTGCCGCCGCCGCCACCGCACCCCGAGACGCGGCGGGAGCGGCACCGGGAGCAGCGGCGGGAGTCGGTGCCGGCGGGGCAGCGGCGGCCCGGGGGATGGTCCCCGCCGCGGGCACGGTGAGTGCGGGCCGGGGCGGCGGGCGACAGCGCCCGCCCCAGCCTGCCGGCGGCCCCGAGTCTCGGCGGAGGCTCGTACCGGGACTACGCGGGGGACGAGGGGAACCCGCTTCGCCGCCCACCTCCCGGCGATATTCGCGGGTCGGCGAGGGCTCTCGGGCCGCCCTCGGGCAAGTCTCCCCCCGTTCGGCTACCGGGGTGCCGAGCCCGACCCGGCGGCGGGAAGCGCTGGGGGCCGCGGCGGGGCCGGGGTTCCCTGCCGGGGCGGGGAGAGGCGGCACCCCGCTGCGGGCGCCCGAGGGGCACGGGGACGGACTCTCCCGCCTCTTCCCTGGGCTCCCGCCCGGCCCGTTGGGCACGTCGGACAGGTGTGCGCCCCGGGCGGTGGGCAAGAGGCAAGGGGCGGGGGTACCCCGAGCCCCCCGGCTCTGCTGTCCCTGACTTGGGGCCGAGTTTGGTCCCTGCCGTGTGTCCCGCGTGTCCGAGCCCGGTCTGCTAAGGCTTTGCGGGGCGGGTGCCCGCTCCTCAGCGTACGTGGGGTTGATTTCTGACCCTCATCACTTCTTCTACCACGGTCAGCGCGAAGGGATGCAGGGCCTCCGCCGGTGCCCGCAGGTGTCCGAAGGGGTCTCTGGGCATCCCCCCGCGCTTCCAGGTGGGGCCTGCGGCTGCAGGGCTGACACAGCTACTCCGAGAGCCGAGACACTCACCGCGGACCTGGGGCACCCCTGGGCCCGCGTGGATGCGCTTCGCGAGTGTCTGCTGCCTCCGCCGGGGGCCCGGTGCAGCCACGGGACATGCCGTGCACAGGGCAGCCAGCGGGGCTCTCGCCGGGCTCTGCACGAGGCAGTGTGAGCTGTTTTGCTCAGGGATTGCACCAACAATTGCAGCCCCGAGCGGGGGACACATGTGACGGGGGTCCAGACATGTGCTCACATGGATGAGCTCGGTTCCGACCCTGGGAAAAAAAACCCTCCTGTGTCTATGAATCGCCCGGCAGGACTCTGGCAGCCGTGTCTGGGGGAGATCAGCCAGATTTCCCCGTACGGGGCATGGGGGTCTGCTGCGGGGTGAGCAGGTCTGGTACCCGTGGGGTGCAGGCGCTCGGCTCAGCCCTGCCCGCCCCGGACGAGCGCAGATGCCGAGCGGGGCCGCGGGGCCAGCCTGGGCTGCGGTGCTGCGCGCCCGGGGAGCTGCCCCGCGGACGGGCCCCGGTCTGAGGAGGCACTGCTTGTGTTAGTCCGTCGCTTCGGCTCCGGGGCTCCCGGTGGCGAAGGGAGGCTGCCCTCGTTCGGCGCCCCGCCGGCAGCGCTGCCGCTGCAGAGTCCGGGGCCGTGCTGCCGCCGGACGGGAGAAGCCTGAATTGCACCGGCTGATCCCGCCCGTCCCGTCCCGTCCCGTCCCGTCCCGTCCCGTCCCGTCCCGTCCCGTCCCGCCGGGACGCTGGAGCCGCGGGGCCGCAGCAGGGCGGCGGCCGCGGAAGCGAGGACAGGGGAGTCCGTCCCTTTCCAGGGGACCCTCGGCTGGCCCCTCCGGCGGTGCCGGCCTGGGAAATCCATGACCTGGCGGCAGCGGCTGGCGTGGGGCCACCACGGGAGCGAAGTGCAGCGTGGGCTGTGCTTGCCCAGGCTGGGGGGCTGGTGCGGCCGGGGGGCAGTGCGAGCCCTGCCGGCACCGGGAGCACATCCCGCCTGGAGGGGACACATGGGCCTGGCAGCGCCCACTGCAGACCCGTGTCACAGTATGGCCAGCTCAGGGTGGCATCAGATTGCACAACTGGGACTTGGGGACCATCCCCTGAGATGCTAGAGGGACTGGAAGAAATTATGTTTCCTTCTTGTCCCAGCAGTGCCCAGGCATGTGCTGTCACTTTTTTTTTGTCAGGAGCGCTCTCCTCAGCATGTCCCTGTCCCCCTTTGCTTCCTTTGCCATGGAAGCAACTGGGACATGCTGGGGCAAAGCCGAAGTCATAGAGGAAATGGAGGAACTCTTGAATGCAGAATGTCACTAGGCTCCAAAGGGACAGTGGCATCCCGAGAGACAGGATATGCAGCAGATGGGACAAGGAAGCTACAAGCCCTTTTGGAACCACTTCTAAAGCCCTTCAAAGGCAGGGTGTCCCAGCTTTGGACACTGGGGCATCCCTGCACCGCAAGCTGGGGAAGGAGGCGAAGGTGTGGCTGCAAACGGGAGTTGCCCCAGCACCTCCTGGGAAACATCACTCCCCTGAGACCATGCTTGCTGCTTCGCTGGGACCACGCACAGCAGGGATGCAGCGCCTTTCTGCGTGTCAGGGCGGTGGATGCCAAGCTGTGGTGTTGGGGTGAATGACTACATGGTGCTCCGTACCCTGCTGTGTCCCCACAGGACCTGCCTGAGCATCCTGACCTTGCAGTCCCACTCATGCAGGCTGCTCGGGGGCTGTGTGTCCCAGCTTGGCGCAGGCAGCAGCCTGGGGAGCCAGCATGGGGCCAAGGGGTGGCTGCACCCGAGGACCCCGTGCTAATGGACTTGGAGTTTCCAAGGTCAGGCTCCCACTGTGAGCAAGAAAAACATTCCCAGGGAAGGGCCATGGGAAAGGGCCCCCCCGTGCAGCACTCCCAGCCCCAGCAGCTGCCTCCCAGCCCAGCCTGGCATCCCAGGCTGTTCACACGAGGACATGGCTGCATTGCCCCTGAGGAGACGTGCTGTAAAAAGGCTGGGTTGCCCAAGCTGCCCAATCTCTTGGAAGGGGTGTTCGGTGTGGTGAGGATGCCTGGCTATGCCAGGAGAGGAGAGGGGTAGGGGTGGGCCATGAATGGGGTGCAGGAGGTGTTGTGAGGTTCTGGGGGGCGAGGGAGGGGGTGGCATGCTTGCCCAGGGCAGGGAGGCATGAGACAATTCCCAGCCAGCCAGCTTTATACCCACCCTGGGTGGGCACTGACGCCAACCTCTGTACTTGCAGCTAGCATGGACCAGCGTCAGGGGCCACCAGAGAGAAGGCCTGCAGGACCTGCCACGCACCTGCAGCCCAAGGTGAGCTCACTCTGTCTGGCTGCAATGGCCAGGACTACCTGGCCCCATGCCCAGCTCATGGAGCCGCATTCCTGGTGTGAACCCCGGTCGGAACTGACCCTGCTGTGCTGTGATTCGTTGCAGGAGGGGACACTGTGGGGGTTCTTTGCCATCCTGTCTCTGCTGGCTGGGCTGGCCACGGGCACCCTGCGAACACCGCACTGCAACGAGACGCTGGACGCAGCCCCCACGCCGCGGGGCATGGCCACGGCCAGCGTGTCTGCGGAGGATGGCGCGGAGGCACCGCTTGCTGCTGCCTGGAGCCAGCTGTACGGTGCGTTTTGGGACAGGCCAAAGCCTGGGCGTGGCGGTGCCCTGCGTGGGGCATGGGCAGGTTGGGAGCTGTGTGGGAAGCCCCAGCCCATGTGGGGCTATGGCTGCACTTTGGGGCTGGGCTGAGGGGATCTCAGCACATGGGGCCCTGAGCTTCGTGCTGGGCATGTGGCAGAGCCCTAGAAATGAGAAGATTCTTGGCTGGAAGTGTCTTCCCACACACCTACACACCCTCTCAGGCACCAGCCATTGCCACGGTGGGTGATCAGGTGGGATCCGTAGGTCACAGAGGGGACCGTAAGGAGGGCGATGGGTGCAGGATAGGTCATGACAGCGCCGTCTCCTCCGTGTGCAGGGGACAACGTGACAACAGGTAGCCCAGGCACCGTAGAGCTGGCGGAGGACCTGCTGCTGCGTGCCGAGCGCTCGCCGCCAGGTGCCGGCAAAGCCAAAAAGGGGGGGGTGAAATCCCCACGGCGCAGCCGGGGGCGCAACTGCCACATCCGCCACCTGATGGTGAAGGTGCGCGACCTGGGCCTGGGCTTCAACTCGGACGAGATCGTGCTCTTCAAGTACTGCAGCGGGTCCTGCCACCGGGCACGCAGCAACTATGACCTGACGCTGGGCAGCCTGCTGCGGCAGCAGCTCATCACCCCAGGGCCGCAGGAGCGGGTCCTCAGCCACCCCTGCTGCCGGCCCACCCGCTACGAGGCTGTCTCCTTCATGGATGTGGAGAACACGTGGCAGACAGTGGAGAAGCTCTCAGCCGCCGAGTGCAGCTGTATCGGCTGAGGAGGGGGCCGCTGGCTTGGCCCCAGCTCGACACATGCCGACAGACTCCAGCTTGCCACATGCAGTGGCACTGTTGCTCAGAACAAGGGTTTGGCAGAGGCTGGTGCCCCTGTTATTACGTGGCCACAAAGAACCGAGGTGAGGTGGAGTCATGACTGGGGTGTGGGTGGCCAAGCCCGCTCCTGCTCAGTGCCAAGCAGCTGCTGCCAGCAGCTACAGGGGGTCCTGCCCGGGTGCCCTGGCTCAGCCCTGGGAGACGAGCTGAAGAGAGTATGGATCATCCCCTCCACTCCCAAGGGTCTGCCAGCCCGGGGTCCAGCAGCGGCACTCCTGCACCTGTGCTCCAGGGCCAAGCATCACCCAAGCTTCAGAGGGGGCAAAACCTCCCTGTCCCCTCGGGCACCCTGGGATCAGTGGTGCAGGGGAGGGCTGTCCCTGAGGGCAGGGATGCAGTGGGGCCAATCTGCACCAGAGTGGAGTGGGGGGTCTGCACCCGGACCAGCAGCAGACTCGTATCCCGCAGGGTGTTCGCTCATAGACCCCCGTTGGGACTCCCACCCCTGCCTGGTTCCCAGGGTAGTGGCAGGGTCCCCGCGCTGCTCCGTGGTGCTGTGGCACTAAACTATTTATTACTCTAAATTATTTATTTATTGTTCTCGAGCGGCAGCTCCTATTTATGACTTTGGGCCCCCAGCGGCCGGGTGTAATTTAACCCCAGCGCTGCACTGAAGCCCTGGGCAGCGCCCCGCGCACCCCGCACCCTTTTTCTATTATTTGTAAAATTTGAGGGATAAACTCTATTTTTGTACAGTCGCCTTTTCCTGTAGCAATAAAGCGATGGGCTGCGCGTCCAGCCCCTGCGTGTGCCCGTGATGGGGACGGGGCTGGCCCTGAGGTGGCAGCGGGAGGGTGCGGAGCGGTGCTGCGGGCGGCTCCCGCGGTGCCGGTGCGCGGTGCCGGTGCCCGGGCGGCTGCCCGTGCGCCGCCGCTGTCGCCCGCCCGCCGCCGCCTCCTGAGCGCCGCCGCAGCCATGGAGCGGAGGGCGGAGGCGCCGCCGCCGCAGGGCCTCGACTTCACCGTGGAGAACGTGGAGAAGGGGAGCGGGGGGCACCTGCTCGGCGGTGCCGGTGCCGGGCCCGGCCGGGGCGGCGGGCGGCGTCCCCTGTGCCCGCCCGCCCTCCGCTGCTGGGGTCCGGGGCGTGCGGCTGCAGGGGGAAACGCCGGGGCGGCCCGGGAGCGAAAATGATGTGGCAGGAATGGGAGCAGGAGGGAGGGGTTGTGTTTCTGACTGGCGTCCTCTAGGTCGGCAGCTGCAGCGCTGGGCAGGGGAGCCCACGGGTCTGGTCCTGGCTGCTCAACCAGCTGCATCAATGTGAAGCCCATTATCAGTGTCTCCATTAGGCAGGGAAGGAAGGAACTTTTGCCAGGTGCTGGGAATTATTGGGTATTACGGTTGGGAAAAGCCTCCAGCGTGCGGGTGGCCCACTGATACCTTTCTAAACCAGGAATGCAAACCCTTTGCTCGTGCTGAAGCTCAAGGTCTTTCAGAGTGTCTGCAGGGCAGCAGGAGTGGGGCTGATTGCTGAAATCTGGCATCCATGGAATGGCCACGGCAAACCAAGGCCTGCTGGCATCACACTGCTGTTGGGATGAGCTCTGAGCAGCTGATGTGTGACCTGGGGTTCATCACAGAGACTAAACAGGGCACCTCAGTGAGCATACCCGGGAGGGCAGCTGGGCAAAAACCTCCCCTTAGTCACCTTGGAGGTGATGGGGGCAGGGCAGCAGAGGATGCATCCCTGAAGGGCAAACAGCAAGTGCATCACTCTTCCACTTACTCTGTAGCCAGACATCCAGCAGACATCCCTAGCTTGGTCCTCAGACAGTTGGTGGGAATCCCAGTGTCCTCATTTTTCCTCTATAAGAATAGACTGAGATCCTTGCCAAAGCAGTACTCATGGGCGTGCTGGTGGGCACACAGAATCATGGAATCATTTAGGTTGGAAAAGACCTCTCAGATGATCATGTCCAACGTTAGTGCAGCCCTGCCAAGCCCAGCACTAAACCATTTCTGAAAGCTTTTCACGCCCATCCCTCCCCAGTAGGTTGCCTGGCCTCACAGGAGATGTCAGCTCGGGGATGTCAGGTTTGTCCCTGGGCACTGGTTGCCTTTGTGGCTGCAGGTGTGACACAGCCCACCTCTTCCAGGGAGATGGAGACACAGCACAGCCGGGGGATTAACTGATGTCTGGAAAATGCTACATTCGTGCAACCTTCTGCAGCTTAATCTGCATACATCCAGGGCTGCTGGATGGTTTTGCCTCTGACTCCCTTTCTTTTCATCAGACACAAACCGCTCCTTTGTTTGCACCAACAATGAGGCGCACACTTGCCCGGGAAGGGTGGGCAGTGCCAGGGTGGGGGCACCCGGCACGGGCTGGGTGAGGTGCGGCTGTGCCGAGAGGCAGCTCATCCTTGCCAGGCTGCTCGGGATTTAGTCTTCCAACGCCTGGGAGGAGGCAGAGATGCCCTCTAGGATGCTTCATCTCCCCTCCCCCAGCCTGCCTCTGCCTCTCCTGATCTCTGCAGGCTTTGCCATCTCAGTAGTGTCCTCTGAAGATGCAGCTGTGGACTGCAGTGGGGCTCTGAGCTGCTGGTGGGGGGCAGCAGCACAGTCCCTGAACAGGGGAAGAAGCATGGGGTGGGATCAGAAAAAAACACAGAGGTTCAGCAGCTTAGGGCCTTCCTGTGTCAGTCTTTTCCAGAAAGGTCTGTGGGGTACAAAGTGAAGGAAAGATGGGCTTTGCTGGGAGCAGAGTTGGTGGGAGGCAGGTGGGTAGAGCTGCTTTGTCAGTGGTGATGCTGGCAGATGAGTGATGCTCCTGCTGGCCTGGGTTCTTCCACCTGCCAGGTTTTGTGCATGGCTCTATTAATAATACTGAATACTGATTTAAGTCAGGGTTTGACTCCGCTCTGAGTCAGTCAGTGATAAGTGCTGGGGTTAGGAACAGCATGAGGAGCTGGTTATCTCATAAATCAGAGGACTGAAGCCTTTCCAGGTCCCTGCAGTGGAGGTCATCATGGCAGTTGTGGCAGCTGTGGCTGGGGCAGTCTGGTGAGGCTGTGCCTGTCACTCTCTTCTGATGATTTTCATGGAGAAGATTCTGTCCCTGGAAAATCCTTTTGTACCCCTAGTGTTATTTATTATGTAGTGAGGTTTTGCAGGACTCTGGGGTGCCTGTGTAGCTGAAAAGGTTCATTGCTGTGCTTATGCATAAACAGTGCCAGAGGGAGACACCTCCAGCTGTGAACACTGGTTTCAGGGAGGCAAGAGGGTGCAGGTGCTGGAGGCAGGGCCAGCTGATGGGTCTAAAAGCCTGTGGACAGGTGCCAGGTTCAGGTGCTGCACTTCAGGAGCCATCTGAAAGTTGCTCCCGGTGTTTTTTTACTCTGTTTTTCCATAGGGAGCTCTCCCGTGGCACAGGAAAGGAGGGGGGCTGCACTGGGCCTGAGCTGTTTTGATAGGGTTACTGTGTCAGCATCCCCCAGTCCTAGCTGAGGGCTGCTTGTCGGCTTTTTGTTTTCTTCTGAGCCTGACCTAGATGCTGCTCTGGCTTCAGCACAGCTAGAGCCGGCTGGCATGGCCACGCTGTGCTGGGAGCCCGGCAGCTCTGGACTGGCTCTGCTTCCCTGCATCTGCTGCTGAGTGGGGCTCTGTTGCTGGGGTTGGAGGATAGGGAAGGCTGGGAAAGCCGAGGGCTTCAGGCTGTGAGAATGCTCAATCTTTCACTGCCTAAGTGGTGCAATCTGGTTTGTGACCTGCGTGTGCTTTTGTGTGCCCAGGAGCTGTCCCTGGTGTGACTGACAGCCTGCTGCTGGGGTGATGATGAAGATGGATTGCAGATGTTTAGTCCAGGCTCTGTCCACCTCAGAGGAGCAGTGCACAAGCAGGACTTGTGCCCTGCAATCTTGGTTTCCCTCAGCACTTAATACTGCAGTATTGGACAGGAGAGGAAGAATGTGAGACCTCTTCACATGTTCTTAGTGCAGTTGAATCTGCTTCAGCAGTATCACCCTTTTTGAAACAAGAAAAAAGACAGTGCCATTCCTCCATGAATTTCCCAAGTGCAGGCTCTCGCCCTCTTTTTTTGTCTAATTCCTTCCAGGTCTTTCCTCCCTTGTCCTGCCTCTGATCCTCTGGGGTGTTTGTAATATTCACTGACGTCTTTTCCCTAGCACATTAGCGGTCTGGCATCTCTGGGCCTTCCAGATTGCCGTGTGCCTCTCTGGAGATGCCTGATGAATGCACAGAGTCTCTCTGGCAGGATGGGTAGGCGGGGTGTCATGGAGCTGACATCCGGAGCCTACCGCACTGGGAGAGGGATGGCTTTGATCACTGCTCCTCCGAGATGCTGAGCCTCGGGGATGTGGCAGCTGCTGGGGCTGCCTTCTGCCCAGGAGGATGGGCAGGAGAAATCAAGTGCATCTGGTTTCTTTGGAAGGCTATTGCCTGTCTTCAGAAACCTGATCAAGAGATTTACAAATACTCGAGGGTGAGGGAATGGCATCCTCTGTCTGGTAGTGGATTGACCACTGGGGCCTTGGAGGCAGCCTGCATGTGTGAGATGTGGTAGCCACACTGGGGATGGTAAGTGGGGGCCTTAGGAGGAGAGATTCCTCCAGAACTGGGAGAAGCAGGGAGTCACCTTGTTACATGTTTAAGCACATGTTCTTGCAGAAGCAGATTCCAGCCAGAGCCAACCTTGGCTGAACACATGGCTGCTTCCTGTGGTGTGGTGGTGATGGGATGAGAGGGCAGTGTCTTGTGGTCCAGTGCTGGTCTGAGTTCCACAAGGGCCATCACTGGTGCCTCATCTCAGCTGTGATGTATTATGGTACAGGAATGGATGGGATTGGTGCCTGGGCTCCAGCAGAAATTCCTCTCTCAAATTGCTTGTGTACTCCATCATGGAAGTGTTGGGTAGAAGCAAGGGATAGTGGACAGGGATGTTTGGCTCACCCTTGTAACTCATCCTGAGCTTTGCATCTCCAGGGTTTCTCTCTGGTCCTGCTCATCCTTTGCATTTTCAGGCCCCTCCCCACTCTTGCTGGGAGTGCATGTGTGTCCCACAGCCCGTGTCCCTGCTGGGGACCACGCTGTGCTCTGCAGAGGGCTGATGGCAGTGAAGCAGTGGGGGTGATGCCAAAGCTGCTGAGCTGTGTCAAGGCTGCAGCCTCTTCTGGACAGCCAAGGACTTGGTGTGGGCAAGCTGGGCTCAAAGAGGGGCTTCAGAGTGGCAGCATCTTTTATTAGGAGAGGGGAGAAAAACCCTTTTCTTTTGGACTGCTGGAAAAATGTGGGTCCTTGAACAGGAGCAGCATGCCTGGCGGCACACACCCGGCTTTATTTTGCATCCATTTGCTATCCTCGGCAGGCTGCCGCCTTCCCGGGGTGCTGGCTGCTCAGCCTGGGGCCGGGGGGGCCAGCTGCTGCAGGCAGGGGAGGCAGGGATGACGTTCCCTTCCCTTGGCAGAGCCAGGGTAATGGCTGTGCTGCTGCAGGCCTGGAGCACTGGCGGTGCGAGCGCGCTCAAGTAGAAAGGACAGCGAGAGACTGCGGCAGGGACAGCCCGGGGGTCTGGCTGGAAGCAGCCTGGTGGGGACAGCCCGGGGGTCCTGCTGGAAGCAGCCTGGTGGCTGCTGAGGGGCCGTGGCCACCGCTGCCCCCGCCATGCCGTGTGGGGAATGTATTCCTGCTCGGCCACGAGGAGCAGAGCAGGAATGTATTTTGCAGCTTTCTGTTTCCCCAGCTGCGGTGCAGACCTCGCTCAGAGCTGTGCCTGCTGTCAGCTCTGTGTGCTCAAG